GTTTTTTGCTTCAAATCCAAATGATTTCTTTAACCAGGGCATTAACAACCTGCTTGTAAGATGGAGAAGTATTATTGATAAGAATGGAGACTATTTCATTCAGTAAATATTTTGTTTTGATATACAAGTTGTTCGGTTTTTCATTTAACAAAAGCGACATTAATTTCTTGACGACCTAATATTTGGCCAACTACCATGCTGTTTTACATCCATATTTTCATAAAGAAACTTGGATTTAGATCACTTAGTGAATTAGGCAAATGGGTTTTAATTATAATAAATGCAAGATCATGTATGTGGATTTTTATAATTTGAATTATAAGTATACTTTGAATAGGAATAACCTAAACAGGCAGTAAAGTATATGATCAGTCTCTAAAGCCATCCAAGCAGTGTGCTGTTGCTAGTGGTAGGGCAAATAGGGTTTTAGGTTGTATCTACAGAAATATTGAATACAAGTCTAAAGAGGTTATAATTTCATTGTATAGGTCACTGGTTAGGCCACATTTAGAATACTGTGTCCAGTCTTGGGCTCCTTCCCTTAAGAAGGACATTGAATTGTTGGAAAGGGTTCAGAGGAGGGTTACTAGAATGGCACCTGGTATAGAGGGGGTTGTTATATGAGGAGTGGTTGAAATCTATCAAATTGTTTTCACTTGAAAAAGAAGAGGTAGAGGGGATATGACTGAAGTCTTTAAGATTGTAAAGGGAATTGTTAGTGTTGATGCATCATGTTTTCATACTTAACAGTGAAAATAATAGAACTAGAGGACAAAGATATAAATTTTGGCAATGTAGGAGTCATCTTCATATAAGACAGTTTTATTTTTCTAAGAGGGTGGTTGGCCTTTGGATTGTGTTGCTTTCGGATGTTGTGGAGGCAGTAAATTTAAGTGAGTTTAAGAAAAAGCTTGAAAAGTACATGAATGATAAGGGCTGACTTTAAGATTTTTTAAAATTTATTTATTAATAGTTTCAGTTTAGTTTAGAAAATGGGATAGCCGAGATGAACCAATAGGTCCCATGTTGTTCCAAAACATTATTATGTTAAAATGCTCGTAACCAGTATGTCTGCCAAAAATCCAAAATGGCGACCAGGAACTATATAGTGAAAAACAACATTATGTGATGGACCGGAAATGTGCATTTATATAGATATACATCATATTGCCTATAGTCCAACCATGAATTTTTTCTTCTGAATATCATTTTTAATAATGTTTACCTAATACATCCATGCAATTATATCTAGGTGATGTGAATTACTTTCTCCTAGAGAAATTGAGAAAATTCAAGATGGCCCCAACACATGCAGAAATTGAATTATATCATATCTATGCAACTATATAACGTTATTGTTGTGTCTTTTTATGTTTTTAACCGTGTTTCCATGGGAAATCTATTGTGAATATTATTGTCCCGTAAAAATGCAAAAAGAAGATGGCAGCCACAATTAGCCAAACATGAGGAACGAATGTATTTTGAATACCGTCATCATAAAACATAAACAATGTCTTGTTTTCAGGTTTGGAAGGTGAACAATACATTCACTAAAATATGACTATGATAATGTTGTAATCAAATATGAGAAATACACCACACAATACATAACATAATGTGTTGTTCTTCTTCAGGTATTAGTGCATGATCACGGTAGAAATAATGATAGCTATAGATGGTAATGTCAAAGCACTCTTGGTGCTGGTATTAATAGACACTGAAGCTGATTGTTTGAAGAGAATTGTGATTACGGTTTTGAGAACATTTATAATGGTGATGGTGCTCAAAAACATTTTCGTTTCATGATGATGCCCAAAAGCGTCATATGAAGTGAAAATATCTATCGAGATTGTCTATGGTTATAGTGATCAAAAACACTTTTGTTTCAACTGGATGGTTACACCAGAACTCCAAAACAAGCTGGAGACCTTTGTTTGTTTGCTTTATGCAACAAAACCAATAACAACTAGCATTGATGATTTGCGATACAACTTGTTTTGTTCGAGTTGGGGGGGTGGAGATCGAATCTCTTCAGTTACCACTGTGCCGGGGTTGCCTCATGAAGCATTCAATATGAGCCAACTACGAAGCTGCAAGTTAGAGAAGAAGTCTACAAGCTGCCAATCAAAGTCCAAGTCCACCAGAAATGGATGGTAGCTTGAGGTGTTTGACGGCAAACAACATCTTGCTATTGGCTGGATGAGCGGATCGCCAGCCTCTGAAGCTGTCTTGGATATTCTCTCATGCAGATATTCACAGTCATGCAAATTGCCTTCATATGTTTGTTTGTTGAATGGGCTGAAGTGCATAGACATACGTTCTCCTGAGAGACTGACAACCAACCATCAGACAACTGTGAATCAGACAACAATGTAGAACATTACGTCGATAATGATGAAGACAGTGACTAATGAAGAATGAGGAAATGGTATGTGTGCACATATAGGCAATCAAGCATATTGAATATATGGTAATGCTTTGAACATTAAGATGATGAAACATCAATTATTATTGATATGAAGTTTATAAGCTAGTATAATACTGTTTTATGTCACTGAAGGTTGAATAAATTATATAAATATATACATACACACATTTTATCATTTCAAGTGGGGTGGATACATTGTCATTGTTCGGATACTCTTGTATATGGCTGTCATTTTTAGTCCCTTTCCAGTAGAGTAAATTAAGTTTTTAAATCCTAATTATCCCATCACATTATTTCTTGTCTTGAACAAGTTTGTCCTAATGAGAGAGCAAAGTCTGATCGATATCAAGATGGCTTTTCCTCCCTGCTCGTGAATCGAAATAATTTGACACTCGTTGCTTCATCAAGTTCACCACAGTTATTGTAGATACATAAATGCATTCTAGGTTGCTACCTGTGTACCAATCACTTAATGCATGCTAAATGTAAATGAATGTTAACAAAAAAAAATGTTTTTTTATCAGCGAACAATTGTTAGATACGAGGCAAAATGTTGTCTTCATGCATAAATGCAACTTTTCTGATTGATCCAAAATATCCGATTGGTAGTTATTTATATAATGGTCGCCATTTTGAAATTCTGGCAGCCATACTTATTAGAGGTAATGTAACGCTTTATCTGAGTTAGCAGATACAGTTAATTTCTCGCAAAACAGTTATAATTCACAAACAAAATTATTCTAAAATGACTTGTCAACTGCAATAGATTGGTAGGTTTGTGGTAGCCATTTTTGATATAAATCTGAAATTCAAATTTTCTTTGATCAAAGGTCTATTAGTATAGTAATATTTGTAATTTTAAGGGTGGTAGTAATTTTACAATGTTACTGGCTATGTTTGATCATAAACATTTTTTTAAGCATCGCCCGAAGTCTGAGAGCTACTCGATCTAGACAGAAATGTTATTTAGGGATATATAGCTTTCAGAAAAACTATGAAAGCATTTGTCCCCCCCTTTTCCCCCAAGTGGTACAGATGATTCTATCTGGCACACACACACACTAATTGCTTGTTGTCGTGCAGACAATTTACTGTAAATAAGACAGCGATCTTATTAGTATTTAATGTACAGAAAAGTTACTTCCTCAATGACTTAAAAAATATCGCTCTGAGGAAAAGTCTTCTTTCAACATTTCTTTCGCTATCTGTAAACTTTTGTAACAATACAAATTCTAGAGTAGACCCACTACTAGTAAATATAAAATACGTGGTATCAATTTTCTCATGAGTATTGAACAATAACCACGCATATGTAAGGTCTCTTGGAGAAACTCATAGTAATTTACATTATAGATGTTTGAAACTTACGATGCATAGTACGTGGGATCACGAAACTTAAAACACGTAAAAATCCGAGATCATCTTCCGAAAGCACATGGCATTTCGGAATTTCATTAGTTTGAAAGTACAGAGGCCCATCTGTATCTCGAAAACAGATAATATTTCCTTATTAAAATACCTATAAAAATTGGTATGTCACACTTAATATGGTCTTTTAAAGGTGTTGAAAGCTGTTACGATTACAATTTTACCAGTATTCACATCCTAAACTACCAAACTAAAAACAATTATTTCTAAAACGTTTTAACAACGTATTATATTTCTTCCATTAAAGCAGTTCAGAAGCTTTCTTTGTGTCAACTTGCACTACTGTTTGTCTGTTCATCTTCATTTTCTTCCTGGCAAAAAGAATAAAAAAAAATGTAAGATACGTTTGATTAAATACATGTGACTCATACACTGAAAAAAAAGTAATATCAATATTTTTTCTAGAAGGGAAGATTTTTTCCAGACATTCGCCTCTCGTTTTTTGGGGAGGGTAATTATAACGTCATAATCAAGATATAGATCTCAAAATAACATACATAGCATTAAAGGACAGTCTAGATGGACCTTTTAGTCCATCTAGACTGTCCTATCCACTAAATTAAACCAAACCCTTAAAAAAGATATCAAAGCCAGCCTTTATTATTTAAATATTTAACAAGTTTTCCCTTAAACTCGTTTAATTTAATTGCATCCACCACATCCTAAGGCAACCTGTCCCAGAGGCCAAACGCCCTGTTAGAAAAATAAAGCTGTCTTTGCTGAAGATCACTTCATTCCTGTCAAAATTTATATTCGTATCCACTAGTCTTACCGTTTTATCTGTTAAATTTAAAACATATGATGCATCAACCCTATCAGTTATCTTAACAATCTTAAATACACCAATCAGATCCACTCAACTTTTTTAGCTGCGCTATAGCGGCTAGTAGAATGGCTCCGAGTTTTTCAAGTACAAACTTTTAGCTCATAGCTCGGTCATCTCTTGACCGATTTGAGATCTAATTACAGTTTTCGACTCAGGAGGCCAAACCCTTTCGATTGATGTATTTTACCACACCTAAGGTCTCATAGATTAATTTATTCTAATCCTGCTTAAAAGAATTTCAATTTGAGGGTAAGCTGGTAGAGATCCTGATGACTAATAAAATCGAATCGGGTATACGCGCGCCCCACGCGTGGTATTGATGACGTACAAAATTATAGCTAAAAAAAAAGAAAAGAAAGAGAAATGAAGGTCTCGTAGATTAATCTCTTGTTACAAGAGATACTAAATTGTTATTAATAAGAACTTCCAAGTTAAGTTAAAGCAGGGTGCACAATACTATGTAAAACACAGAATATCTGCTATGTCCAGTGTCAACGAGACGTTTTGCCCAATACCAACATTCCTCCGGGTAGCTGGATTAGTTTTACCTAACAACGTCACTTAGGCTGTTTAAATTGATTTCGGTGGTATAAACTTAATAAGAGAAATATTTAGTATATTCATTCAGAGTTATCAGTGTTTGGGAGAATGATTGGTGATTTCAAACGATAAAAAACACCACAGACTGTTATCTGTTTGTCGCTTATGTTGAATGGTACCAAAAAAACTTATGTTGAATGGTATCAGAAAAACTTATGTTGAATGGTATCCGAAATATTTATGTTGAATGGTATCAGAAAAACTTATGTTGAATGGTACCAGAAAACTTATGTTGAATGGTACCAGAAAAATTCTTCAGAAACATAATAGAGGAATGAAGGATCTCAACTAAATGTTCTTTGTTTTTTGTTTTTTTCTACAGGAGTAACTTCTAAACTTCTAGATGTATTAGAAGTGGCTTCACTATGTACAGAAATAGTTTTAACTTTACTACATCTTTCATTACAATAACACAGACTTTATAGGAAAAATTATATTGATAAATTAATTAGACAAAATAATGTAATCAATAATGGAAATATGGATTTAAACTCATATGCAGGAAACACGATAAAAGACTGAAACCATGGCTTTCCACTAGAAAGAAACAACTCTACTTACACTGTTTATTTTCTCTTCCAAATGTTTAAAAAATTCGACTTGACTGGGAGTTCTTTGTCTGAAATGACAGTTAAAGCCAATGAAAATCTATACTATATTTCTAAAGATACAGCTGTTTCAACCAACTAAACGTACTATTATGGTTATTCTAAAATACCTAGTCAGTAATGTAGTCATTCTGTGGAATTAGTATTTTCATTTTGAACGACACTTTATACGTACACGGGAAAAACGGCTAATTCAGAGACCCCTAGGATTCAACTATGGGCATCCCAAATTATTGAACCTATTGCCCAAGGGGAGGGCAGCTAGTCAACAGCATCCAACGAGACAAGGGCTCTGCCTAGACCTTTAAACTGAATAACGGGATTTATTGTCACTCTAATAAAGTTTCCACAACTACATGTACGGAGCGGTTCATGGCTTTCAAGCCTTTCAACTTTCGATACACATGCCAACTACTTCGTTGCACAAAAATCGGGAAGTCACGGTAACTCATACTGAATAGAGGCGTTTTTCTAGCATTATCAGTTCCTCAGATAAAGTATTTATATTGTTTCTTTGGTGCAATGGTAGTTACTTTATAATTTAATTCGTGGTTTTAAATTTGTCTCGCACTACTTAGTCAGGTTTTGATGACACTGTAGTTACATTCTGTAACACTAAACCAGTTCAGAGACACATGCGTATACATGGTATATTATTGACACAATAATGCTGATCTGGTTTATGTTTACGTTTTCCTCTAATTTAACAAACAAATGCAGTCACCTTACTTTATGCATGAGTAAAACACGTACAATAGCAGATAATAAAAATATGCATGAACATGAAGTCAGCAGAAATCAAATTATTATTAGCTATTAAGTAACAGAAAGTGGAATATTGTTTTTTTTTAGCTGGAAATATTTACTTTTTATAATGTTGTAAATTTTGCCGATTACTGCAATGACGTGACACAATTTATGAATCATGTACATCTTCATTGGTCTTTATTTCACATTGCAATAAACTAAAGTTATATGCACATTGTTAAAATAAGCTAGAAGGTCTTAAAACAATACAATCGGAACATCACTCGGGCATTTCCGTCGCACCTAGTAAAAAACACTCTCGGAGGTAATTAGAAACCATGTTTGGACTACTTTCGATCACATGACTCAAATGTTAAACTCAAAGTTAACATTAACTAGATGACTCACAATAACATAATACCAGTGAAACAGAAAGACCCAAGTAAAGGTGTTTTTGAAAAAAATAAATAAATAAACAAAAATACCTTCACTAAAGAAAACAAACAATATTAAATTATTATAGTAACCTAAAAGTAGTAGCAGTATTACCTAAAATATTCTGCTTAAGAAGCGTAGTATACTAAAAACATGTGACAAGAAGACAGAACTATAGTATAACCTCAGTTTGCTTTTTGCAAAATCATAATAGTGAGAAGTATGCTACATCACGATTACGCTGTTGCCGAAAGTAAACAGTGGGTAACATTTGCACTCGATTCCAAGTCAGTCGTGAGTTTTGGAGTTATAGCCGAGTTTTAGTGAACCTCAGAATTATCATACCTTGAAATGATGTAATTTAGAAAAAGCTTTAAATCATAGGTCTAATACAACTTTATAATGTTTAATGAAATTAGTTAGCGGTTATTAAACTGAATTCTTTTCAAAAATTGTGTTTTAGACTTAGCATTCGAAAGGGGTTTTCTTTGTTAAGACTGTTAGAAAATATCATTGTGATTTTGTAAATTCATTTTTTAACTTAAACTAAAATATATCCACGGCGTTTTCACACAACTTAAGTAGACGATTATTTAGCATTTTCTTGTGATTATTCGGTAAAACATTATTTCAGCACCATAGTTGTTTTAAACATATTTATTTTTGTCAGATAACTATTGCGAATACAGAATCTGACGCCTGAGATGCAGGCTTTTCTTTGTTGGGAAAATTCACGTTTCAATGTTGTTGTTGTATTCTATTATTGTATTCTGTTGTATTCTAGTTGTGCCCCATTTTCTCGTATTTTATACAAAAAAAAAAAGATTGACAGGCAAATTTAAACTTATTTTGCTATTCATTCTTGAAGGTTCGATGGTCATTAGTTTATCACTCTTATTTTGTCTGTTTGCAAATATAGCGCAAAAAATTGTCTCATTTATCATAAAATCTTTGGTAGTTCTGCTAATATGAACAAAGAATCAATGCAGTATATTTTCAGTTGCAAGGACTATATTTATCGGGAAATGTATCTCGAACTAGCTCAAATAGTATATTGTTACGACAGCGGAAGTCACGTGATAATGGTAACACGTCATGAGTTTCTAGAAGGTTCATGACTGTTCCAGGCAACTCTAGTCTTTTCTAGGCGCCCTCTATTTTAGTATATAAGCCCGCCAAATAGAGCGGAGATATAATGGCAGATAGATGGAGATAGAGACAGATAATTGAGTCAAGTGAGCGGTAGTGACCTTAAGTAAAGTGCGTGAATCGTTGTGAATTATAGCGTGTGTTGAAGTTAAAGTGACTGTGGAAATTCTGTGTATTATAAATTTGTATCGAGAAAAAATAAACTAGTTTTAGTTAAAAAAAGGATTTGTATCGCTGAAGTTCCTCGGGAAGAATTTATACCGGAAATTAACAAACGACCAGAGACGTAACAATATGAAAATTACACACCTATTTGAAAAAATATACTTACATTAATAATAATTCAAAGAATCATACAATTATATCAACTTTAGATTAGAAATCTTTTTTAAAGAGTATCTTTATGAAGAACGAGAGCATATATGTTTAGTGTAATATCTTTACCAGCCTATTTAACCCCTTCATGTACACGTTGCTTCTTGAGTATTGTCAAACAAGGTACCGTATTTTTTGGTGTATAAGACGCACTTTTTACCCCACAATTGGATGTCAAAATCTGCTTGCGTTCTATACACCGAAGGTATGGATAATATATATGTATATATACGATATACACAAGCCATGTGTAAATACATTTAAATAGGTATGC